AGAATGGCAAAATTTGGGATATAAGAGGAAAAATGGACTGAAAATCTCTCATACTATATCTCCCCTAAATATTTCTCAGTGTTACAGAAATACAAGTATACAAGTAAACATATGTAGCAGTGTCTCTGTTCAAATTTAGGAAACAAATGAGAGAAATTGTATCACATAACACAGAGGATCCTCAGTAGGGTCCAACCCTACCTTCTTCATAGAGGTTTGTTTTTACCATGTTTTCTATTATAGCTGCTATTGAATTGAAGATCAAAGCACTTTGGAGAAAGATATTTCTGATTTGAAATAATCAACAATTATTCTTCAGAGAAGTAGCTGAAATAATTTGAGAGTGAAAGCCACACAATAGAATCAATAACAATCTGATACACAGTATTTATTTAAAGTTTAATTTAATGGCTACTTAACTCATTGGGTTCCTACACTCCACTGAGAACCCTGAGAGTACTCTGAATCAAACTTATTAAATTTATTTTTCACTAAGCATGCCCTTCTGCACCCAACACTGAAGACTGTATGATGAGACTGGTAATAGTAAATAGGTGAAAATGTACAGAAAAGAATCATAATATAGTTATTCCACTTCATGCATTATAGAGACTATTTTGAGCATGACATAGAAAGTTTTGGGGCTTAAGCAATTGAAACCTGTGAGGTTTTCATAATCCCAGTGAAATAAAAATGAATAAATGCATATTCCAATGTTTATATGAATTCAGTGAAGCCAATTAAAAGTATTTGTGTTGGCATGTAAATTCATTAGGGATAATGTAGAATAATTAAATATAAATAGATTTTTGTTGTAACAATGCCGAAAAGCAAAGTCAATGCTGAGATTCTCAAGTATATTACTGACAGGTTGTGATGATAAACCACTTCCATGAAAATTTGGTTTTGAATTTCTTAAAGTCAGGAAACATAATCTAATATTTCTGTGTTGCCCTCTGTTTAGTCTTCTGTCCTTAGAGATCTAAGTAACTGGAAGAGCTAAGCTTGTTGGCTGCCATTTTTTTCTTTTTATCAACTCATAATTCTCTCCTAAATAAGCCTACACTTTACAATCACATTTTAGAGATATACAAAAGACTCCGTTGCCTTGTTACATATTTCAGAATAATATGCATTTAAAAATAATCACATACTTTACATAAGGAAATATTGTTGTTTAATGTTGTTTCAATTATTTTAAATGACAGTCCTGATTGTTACCTTATATTATACTTAAAATTTATGGGAATGCTGGGCATGGTGGCACATACCCTAATCCCAGCTACTGGTGAGGATGAGGCAAAAGGATTGCAAGTTCAAGATCAGCCTGGGTAACTTAGTGAGACCCTGTTTCAAAATAAACAATAAACAGACAGGGGAAGTAGCTCAGTTGTACAGCATCTCTAGGTTTATTTTGAGCACTCCCAAAATAAATAGATAAAATAAAAATTATGGGCACAAAATTATTTCATGTGAAATATTTAGTTTTAATTGCTACCTTCACTAGCCATGCCTTTTCCTATCTGTTTTGGATAAGGATGGGTACTCAAAATGACACAAAATCCTACCCACACTCTGTGACAATGAAACAATACATAAAACATTAAAATTTTGACCTGTGTTTCTGTGGTCTTTATATGTGTCTCCCAAAGGCACACATTTTGAAGTTTTGATCTTTTGGTTACATAAAACCTTGCATTACTACTTAATCATCTCATTTCACAAAACTGTCACCTCAACACATCATGATGATCAGAAAGCATGCTATGCTTTCCTAAATAATTAGTCAGACATACATTTTTCCTTATTACTTTCTGTAATTCTATGTACATATACACGTACTAAGTGAACAAACGAATGAATGAACATTATTAGAAGTCAAATACTCTATTGTTTCTTTACAGAATATTTACATCAAGATTAGTCTGTAAAACTTTTTGACTTTGTATGAGTCTCAACTTTTTGTCCTTCTCTATGCAGAGCACAAGATTTATACCAAATAGATGTCCATGTTAAAGTACAATGAATAAAAATGGCAATTAATTTTAAAAAATGGTTAAATGTATGAAATATACCAGAAAGAACTTTCAGGATTCTGCATGGTGGTGATTTCTTTCTCTTATAGAATGATTAATATAAAAAAATTATACATAAAAACAAGGTAAATTTTACCAAAGAAAAGAATATCTAAATAACATTAAAAGATTAAAAAAAACAGTAGTGATGCCAGATGCTTGTAAAAATAAAAATCATGATGTACATTATTATCTTTTTTATTATTGAAAGAAGTTATTGTGTACACCACATTGTACTCTGAGATATACTTAGTTTCCATTGAAATTGTATGTCAGTGGCCTTGACCCTGATTGTCAATGCCTGGCTTCTGAGTTCAAACACTTGCTCATATGTCCTTTTCATCTATTATTTGTCTCCTATTGTGTAGCTCACAATAATAATTAGTTCCATATTGGAGGTAATAGTTTTATTTTGATCAAGCAATCTCTCATTCTTTTATGCCATACCAAATCTATTGTGAAATTTTAGTTTGCTAACTTATGCTATTTTTATTTAAAAATGAATTTATCCACTGTAACCTTCCACTCCAATGTGGGTTATACTGAGAAGTAAGGAAATATTCCATTGGAGTATTCTGCAACTCTATAATAAAAATAGCTGGGGAAGCTTTCTCAGATGCTGAAATTAAATAATATTTGATCATATTTTCAGGATTAAGATTTATTGAATGCTTCATATATGCCAAAAATGACTTGAAGAAGGGAGACAACTTATATAATTTCTCACAACTCTACAAATTAGAAATTAATGTGCTCTTCAGAGGAGGAACCCAGCCACAGACAGTTAAAATAACTTGCCCAGGGCATCCTGCTAGAAAGTGGTGGATTCTGAATCCAAAACCAGGCTCTCAGGCAACATAACCGGTGCTCCTGCTTCTGACCACTTGGAATATGTCCTCCTATTTAAATAATAGTAACCTTTCCTTTAAAAAAATAACAAGGATGATTTTATAAACCAATGTAGAAAAAATGATAATGGACAGTGGATTTGTCATTCATTTCACAAGATTTTTACATCTGCAAAATTCTCACATATGGCACTCTCAAAAACCTCGATTATCTATACTAACTCCTACCCTATTACACCTAAATTAAAAGCACAGATCACAAACATTAATAGTTTAGGCCTGTATGGAGCTGTCTCAGCTAAGAGTAGAAAAAAAGATGTTTCCAAATAATTCTATTACATTCCTGTTCACACATATACAAAAAAAAAAAGTTTTAAAAAACGAAGAAAGCATACAATGCACAAGTATGTGCTATTTCTAGGTGTAACCATGATAGCAAGGTAACATAGACTAAAGTTTGGGGGGAAAAAAAAAACCTACTGTTTTCTAATTTGCATCCTCTCAAGTAATCTAATACCAGCCTAACATCATCCATCTATAAAGCCCAGCTCAATTCAAAAGCTAACAGTATCATTCAAAAGTATGGAAATAAACATCCCCAGCACAAGAAAGACTAATTTTGCGTCTGAGCATTTTCATTCCCTGATCTTGATTTTTCAAGGTTTGCTATTTGTTAACTGGTGGTACGAATATGACATTGTTTAGATGGATCCATCCATTTCCTTTTGTTCCAGAGAAAACCATGCTCGTGGGCCATGTGAAACCACACCTCCTGTTTCAGTTCAAGCCTTGTTTACCCTCCTGCCCACTTCAGCAGTGACAGGAAGGGAGCCACCCCAAAGGAGATGCTGGTTCTCTCTGGGGTTTTCCTTGTATCACCCTCATTTTTTTTCTGTGACATGGTACCATGTGGTCCTGTGAGCCCTGGTCTCATAAGACATGCCCTTTTAAATAAACAAAGGGAATAAAATAGTTCAGGAAGATGAAAAGGAGAAGGGGGGAAAAAAACAAACAAGTGAACAGAAACCCCTTTGACCTGACATTATGGAGAAAAAAAAAAAGACACTAAGATGATAAAAAAAATAGTGTCATGGTTTACATGTGGGATTTGGATGGAATCTAGGGCTGTGTTTTAATTCAGAACTCACCATCTCAAAACCACTTCTTTTCATCCGCCTGCAGGACTTGAGGTAAGTACGTATACGTTTTCTGGCACGCTCTTGGTACTCAGGGAATTGTCGCCTGCATGAGTCAATGATAGCCTGGATCTTTTCTTTGGGCTGCTTAGAGATTGGGACCATTCGGTCCAAGTTTTCATCTACAAACAGCCTGACAAACATCTGTTGGCAAGAGGGAGACAGAGGAGAAGGGTTTGGAGGGCTGCTCTCTTCTGTTCCTAGCTTCCTGTCTTGATTACCGATAGGAAAATATTCTTTTCTGGTTTATGCACTGGAGAACTTTGCAATGGAAAGCCAGAAATTTTAAGCAAACACTCTTTAAAAGATTTTTTTTCTAAATGGTTGGAAATTTTAAAAACCGAAAGAGAGAAAGAGAGAAAGGCAGACAGACAGACAGACAGAAAAGAATAGACTATTATGTAGGAAAAAAAATCAGGAAATAACAGTAGACTGTGACAGTTGAGCACCCCATTAAATTCTCTATTAACAATAAATACGACTGTTCCTAAGCTGCACAGTAGACTAATCTCTGAAAACAAACAATTGACTCTTGTCATGCATAATTAGATAAACTAGGAAAGGAAAAGAGGTCACAGGACGGACAGGCGTACTCAGCCAAGGACGAAGCAGGGGTCCCCCTTCGTCCACTGGGTAAACATGCATACTCACACAACACAATTCCAGTTTTTCAGCTCACATTTGGCTTTAAAAATTCTAAACAAAACACAGCAATTCTGGTGTCTGGTTGGCAAAGAGTGTTTCCTGTACTTTTTAAAATCCTTCTGCAAATTAAACAAACATGTCTCTAAAATATCCACATTGACCAACAGGCAACACCACGAAAGTGAAATGGGAAAAAAAAAAAAATCAAACCACACTGGGAGCGTGGCAGGACTCACATTAAAAGCTTTCAGCCGTTCTGCTTCGACACCATCCGTCTCGTTAACTTTCTCAGAATCATCATGGTCATCGTGGTCGTCTTCATCCTCTTCCCCCCTGTTGAGTGACAGGTCCTCGGCGCCTCGGTCTACACTCTCATTTTTGCCAGACTCATAGCTTGAGTAACTATGGGCAGGAGACTGAAAATAAAGGGTGACATTGCTGCTTTTAAATTCATTGAACACGATTGAACATTGAATTTTATGTTTTATTTTTAATTCCGCTGTGGCTCAAAAAAATCTTGTCTTGGTGTTGATAGCACCAGCACTGTGGCTATTTTAATTTAAATCACAATTAACTCAAGTGAAAGTAAAAATGCATTTTCCTCCTCTTGCCAGTCATGTTTTAAGGCTCAATAGCCACATGGAACATTTCAATCATCGCAGAAAGTTTTATTGAACTTTGCTCTTGAAGAGCAATTACTGTTTCCAATCAATATTTATATTCCCCCAAAGATGCAATCTGTAATTAATTTTACAGGAGAATCATTAAATCACATGTTATTCGAAGTAGATCTGGCCTCAGAGCATTGTCAGTCTAATTGTGTTAGTATTCTTTGAACAGATAGTGATATTAGAAAGACTAATTATAAGATGCTTTAAAAGCAGTCTATAAGTTTTCTGTGATTCTCAAAAGGGCATTTGATTTTGATTTAGAAAAAGAAAATCATTTTTCTTTCTAATTGTCTGTTAAATTTAGTCCTTCTGTATCCCAACACTATATCACATAACGAATTCAAAGCAAGATCAATTAAATAATAGCTCAGAAAATTCAATGTAAAAATCATTAAACATCTGAAATTTTAAAATATTTCAACATTTCTTTTTACATATAAATAGTTAATGGCTTTCATGGGAGTTTAATGATAAGATTTTATATGTGTTTCTATATATAAATGATACCATTTAATAGTACATAAACTGACTTTGATTGTTTTTTATTTGAGGATTACACATACTCAAGATACTTCCATATTTCCTTTTAGGACCTCTGAGTGAGTTTGGGAGAAGTGTCCTGGAAGTAAAGGGAGTCCAAGTGTATGGGTGTGGTAAGGAACTTAATTTAGCAGTGTACAGCATAACAATACACTATTTTATATTACCCCTTTGAGACCATGTTAATCAACAACTATCAAAACATATTGTAGGTACCTTTGATAAGATGCTGAACTAAGATGTGAGATAATTTAAAGAGAAGTATGATGAATTTATTTTTATTGATTGATGTAAAAATGTTTTATGAGATATTAAATAATGAAGAAATTGTGTGAGACACAGAAAAGAAATAAACGTAGGAGCAGGGTACATCTAGACTGTTGGCTCCCTTAATTTTCACAGCAACCCAGTGCAGAGATATCATCTTCTCAGTTCTACAGATAAGGAAATTGCTTCAGAAAGGCTGAATAAACTCTTCTCATTCAGATAATGATGAAACCACTATATGAATCTAGCTCTGCCTGAAGTCAAGAGTGGTGGAATAAGAAGTTTATACAAATTACACTTTTTTGGTAAGTGTGTGGGCATGTGTGTGTGTGTGTGTATGTGTGTGTGTGTATAATTGAAGGAAGATTACAAAATATTTACAGGTTAATGTACATGTTGATATGAAAACAAAATAATTTTAAGTGAATTCACCTTCAACTATTACTCCTCCTAAATAAATTAGACGCATTATTTCTATTTTCTTTTACAACAGTAGCCTGCAATTTTTTTTATTCTTAAATAAGAAGCATTATCATTTGCTGTAAAATTTCCACAGATCATATGATATAGTTAAATAATTTATTTTTACTGTACAGTGTTTTTTCAGTTAGAGAAAAGATACACTTATCAAACAGATAAAGAGGTTTCCTTTTATTTTTACCTTTTACATTTTTATTAGTGTTATAGTTATACATAATAGTGACTTCATTTGGACATATTCATAAATGAGTGTAATATAATTTACTCCATTCCAATCCCCAATACTTCCCCCCTTTTACTCTTCTCATTACTCCAACCTTCATCTTCCTCTTCCCTCCTGTTGAGCCTCTTCCTCTACTCTACTGTTTGAACAAGTTTTCTTTTTTCTTTCCTTTTTTTTCTTTGTTTTGGTACCAGGGATTGAACCCACAACATTTTACCACTAAGTCACATCCCCAGATAATTTTTAAAAATTTGCCACAGAGTGTCATTAAGTTGTTGAAGCTGGCTTTGAACTTGCGATTCTCCTGCCTCAGCCTCCCAAAATGTTGGGATTACAGGTGTGCATCACCACACCCAACTGAACAGGTTTTCTTAAAAAATATCTATAGAAGTAAATAGTGAATAGTTTTTTTTTTCAATTTTGGGAATTAACATAATCTGGCATAAAACATGTTTTAATAATAAAATATATTTAAGAGAATAAACTCAATGAATGATAATAATGATAAACTTTGGACGTCTATTCTGTGCCAGGCATTATTCTAAGCCTTCTACATATATAATTTATTTCACTAACAATATACTGGCTAAAAAACTTCTCTAATGTCACACAGCTAGTAAATGAAATCAGGACTTAAACTCATGCAGTTTGACTCTAAATATATTATCTTAAACCTATTCTTTTCTTTGTCTAGACAATGACTGCTTATGAGGCTATTGTTAGAGTATTACTAGAAATCCATTCCTAAGATTCTGTGTTTCTTGACAAAAACTTGTAAAATAGAAGAACCTTTGGGATAAGATACGCTAAACCAATTCTATCATCTAAATGTTAACTATAAGTATGTTTTACAGATATTCATTAAATACATCCTGAGAAACTCTAAAAGAAATTATGTATTTTGTATGGATTGGAGGCAATATTGCATCCAGATTTAACATCCACATAACTGAACATCATAGCAGAACTGGTATAAATATTTTTGTATATATATTATAAATGATTTTGAATTACATGGATGCTAATAATAATAATAATAATATGGTGTATATCATAGTAAACTTTATGTATCAACCTGACTGGATCACAGAGTGCCTGGATATTTGATTAAAGATTATATCTAGGTGTGTCTGTGTGGAGGTTTCTGAATAAGATTAGCATTTGAATTTGTGGACAGTAAAGCAGATTGACTTCCCCAATGTGAATGGATAACATCCAATCTTTTGAGTCAAGAATAGAGCAAAAGGCAGAAGAGGAAGTCAAAATTCATCCATTCTGCTTGCTTGAGCTGAGACACACCAAAATCTCTACATTATCACACCATTGGCTGCTCTAGTTGTAGGGTCTTGAGACTGAGACTAAACTATTCCATTGGCAGATCATGGGGCTTCTCAATCTTAATTACATCTCTCACTCTGTAAACTCCTACTCTTACTGGTTCTGACTAATACAATATATTGTCTAAAATATAAAGCATCTAATTAAAGACCAGAAAATTTAATTTACGGAGCTAGTCTCAGACACTGAGCAAAGCAGTAGAGAAATTAAGCAGGGTTCATCATTCGTGGCTAGTGATATAGAATTTCATGGGTTTCACAGTAAGGGTCCATGGGAGTTAAAAGGAACGAGAGGTTGAATTTCAAAACCAGAGTGGGTTGCAAGAGGGGAAAGAAAAATGTGCAAGAGGAAGCAAATGCCAATCGAGACGCTTTCACAGACATAGATCATAGCATCAGGGTGTCAAGACCAAGAGGCTTTGTTGTGATTTTGTTGTTGTTGTTGTTAGCCAAATATCTTTGCCTTCAGAAACAGCTTCTGCTAGACCAGATGAAGACTGTCCACCCTATGGTACAACTTTCCCTTTTCAAGGCATGTGTTTTAACTTTGTCTCTAGATGAAGAGAGCTTCTCTGAGACTGAGATCAAGCTGAATCCACAAAGATAAGTAGTACAAAAGAGTCCCAAGGACATCTTTGCACCCAGATACAACAGTTGCTAAAATTCAGCCCTTGACCCTGTAGCTGTGTGATATTATACATCTTCCATCTACTCAACCCCACTTTTATTTATTTACTTATTTATTTATTTTTGCTTAAATTGTAAGTTTCATTTACCTTTGGGTCTAGAGTGGGACAGAAATCAATCATTATAAGATCAGATTAACAATATATATTTCACACATGACAATGAAAATAAAAGGATGATAGCATTTCTATAAACAGCAATATCAAACCTCAAACTTATCAACAAAAGAAAGCCCTTATGAATGACCTCTACAATGAGAAATTTTAAGTAGGCAGTATTTTAAATGTCTCTGTGAAATACTAATTTATAAAACACACAGTATAAAGATCACACTAAAATATTACAACTGTATAATCAGAAGAGGCATAATAAAAATAGACACAGATCACTGACCTTAAAAATGAAGTCAAGTTTTACAAATCATCATATTTTTACAGCTCAAATCATTAACAAGGTGGAATAATCCAATAAAATATAAGGGATACATTTGGAAAGTTTGATAGCTTTTAAAATATAAATATATTAAGTATGCTTTTAAATGGCAATGGGCAATATTTGAAAAATGATGTAATACTCATCTGAATTCAAACATGGTGTCTAATTCATTTTTTTCTATATGCCAATGTAGTTGTCTGCTGTATACAAAACTACTTGGAACCAGGAAGGATTTATAGCCCTGGTGACTCAAGGTAAAGAAAGCCCAATTTGCAGACCTATGAATAATCAGGATATAAATCTGAAACATGTTCAATTTTTTTAACCACTATAATATAAACTGAAATTGAATTCTACTTTTCAAGTGGAATAACATTCTTTTCCTTTCTTATTGCTTAAGATCTACTCTTTAAAACAAATCAGATTAAACTCATTGTATACAAAAATTTCCAGTTTCTGCCAAGTAGTATGGCCCAAGACTGTAATCCCAGCAACTCTGGAGACTGCAGCAAGAGAATCATGAGTTAAAGTTCACAGCAAGGAGTTTGCCTTGGGTCTCAGATGAGACTTTGGATTAGAACTTTTGGGCAGTACTGAAACTGTTAAGACCATGGGACTCTTGCAGATAAACTAAATGCATTTGCATTGGGAGATGGGCATGAACTTCTGGGGGGCAGGGGTAGAATGTTGTGGTTTGGATAGGGAGTGTTCCCCAAAAGCTCTTTTGTTAATACAGGAGTATTCAGAGGTAAAATGATTGGATTGTGAGAGCCATA